AAAAAAAAAAAAAAAAAAAAAAAAAAAAAAAAAACACCCGAGCCGCGTCTTCTTAATCGCACCGACTTGATGGCTAATGTTCCCCTGTCTCGACGTTAAAACGCGTGATTTCCGATACTTTTACTCGGTCGTACACGCGTGGAAGTAGCAACGTCGAGAGAGCATATCGTTGGCACGTTGGTTCTCATTGATTGAGAGCTTAATTCTTAGCTTACGGCTGAGTTATTTTTATCAACGTTAAATACATTTAACGTTATTTTTATTAGACAAAAGAAAGTTGTGGAAAAACATTAAGTAATATTTAAATAAAGTGTTTACTTGCAATTTCCAATATTTTAACGCAAACATTTTTCTCAAAAGATATCATACAGAAAGTATCGGTTCTCTCGAGACCCCACGTCGTGACAGTCTAATCCCTTGTCCACAATTATTGTATTTATGTGTGTGCAGTTATTCGGTCTTTAATTAACCCTTACCCCTTGTCCACAACCTTGCTTTAATCTTTAAGCCATAATAAATTGACCAACAACAGTCGATTATTTTAAAAATAATCAACTGTGGTTGGTCAATTTCTTACAACTTAAGATTTAAAGCAAGGTTGTAGACAAGGGATAAGGGTTAATTAAAGACCGAATAACTGCACACACATAAATATAATAATTAATTCGCGCATAAACACAATAATCGTTCTCTCTCTACGTTTCGCTTTATTCATCGCCGTTGGCCGCACATCTAATTTATTAGGTACAATCGACTAAATTTGCTTTACACGCGAATCACCATGAATAAACGCGTCAATACTGAACACCCGTGGAATTCTGCGTACTGATGACGTGAGAAGATTTTGTTCTCGCCGACGAGAAACGTCGTCATTCCGCGGACCGTTACACGAGGAACAAAAAACGACTAATTCACCGCTAACACATCGTTGACCGGCTGCTTTAAGTGTCAACCGACGCTGCTATTTTTCATTAACTATTTTTCACAAGTTGACACAAGCTGTTGACCCGTCATTTTCAACATTATTCGAACCATGTTCTCGCGATTGCGTCTTTTCTTTTTTCCATAAACCATCGTCAAGATACGAGATAATCCATGAAGCGACCAACAGCGTTGTTCAACTAATAAAACACGAGTCTTCCCACGATCGGTCAACAATGTGCATAAGACCGGGTTTGCCGTCCGCGGTTGCCAGTTAACGAGCGTAGTTTACATCGCGTCTCGAACGTGACGGAATATGAAGTACACTCACCAATAGCTGCTGGAGACCTTGCTGTTGCTGCTGCTGCAAGAATCAGATAAAGACACGTCGTTAAATCGGATAACGCAATGCTTGCTTGCTTGCATTGTCGCTCGAATGGCACAATGATTCGATCAAATGCTCCGTCAACTATCTATCAATACCCGAGTCGAAATTTTAGCCCGACTATTGATCTGAACTTTCTAACATCTATGTATTCTGAAGGATCAGTGTATGTTTAATACACTGCATAATACAAATGTATGTATAATACACATCAAAATTGGAATTCTCTGAATGGCGAATCACAAAATGCTATTTGTAGATTCTAAAAAAGGTTTCTTGGCGAAGCTACAGTTAAATAGTATAAAAAAGGTTGATTTAGGCTTCGGAGTATCAAAATAAGTTCATTAGAATCCACAAATGTCATTTCGTGCATTTTCTGTCATGTAGAAGCGCTAAGTAGAAGACTTTAGTTTCTATGCATATTGAACACACATACTGAGAAAAAATAGTTGAAAATATATCTGTGAAATAAATCTCATCCCATAAATAACTTTTCAAGTATTCTTTTCTCGGTGTGTGTTTAATATACATGGAAATTGCAGTTCTACTTAGCCGCTCTGAATGACAGGAACGCACAAAATGCCACTTGTAAAAGGTTTTACTGAACCTATTTTGATACCCTGATGTCTACATCAATCTTTTAAATTAAGTACTGAGGCCGAAAGTGGCGTGAAAATTTCGACTCGGATAGTTGACGAGAAATTGCCTCGAGACAAATGCGCGTCACCCCGTGCGACTTCGATCGCTAATCGATGCGGGGGCGGGGAAAGGGTTAATGACGGAGAGCGCTACTTACTCCGATAATGGCATTCAGCTCGGACATGGTGACTTGCTTCGCCCTCTCCACGGCGTTGGCCACCTGCTGCTGATGCTGCAATGCCATGCTATGATTATCGCGTCGTCGTCACACTCGATCGTGAGACTGCACGGCACGCGTGCCAAACAGAAAGTCAAAGACTCACCTCTTGCGCCAGAAACGGCATCACTTGAGCGATGATCGCGTTCAACCTCTTGGCGATCTCCGTCTGCGAACACGCGACGGGCGATTCGATTAAGGGGAGTGGTGGCTCTGGTTTAGATAGTCGAGAAACAGAAATTTTTTTTTCCAAATGGCCGCAATCGCAAATTTTTATGAATTATTTTTTTCAAGGAAATGAATAAAGATGTCAATATAAAAGCCTCGATCATACTAGTCATTATTATTTTAAGTATGAAAAAATTATTTTTTCTTTGCTGAAGATGAGAGGATGGAACTAAATCCTCTCTCCTTCCAAATTTTCAACAAAATAATATTTTTCCTGTGGAACTACATAAAGAAACAGAAATGATTGTAATTTCGAAATGTCGCTATTTTGTTAAATTTTGATTTTCCGCATGTAACAAAAAGTTTCATCCTCCAGAAAATTTAATAGAGTTTTTGAACTTTCTGTCTCATTTGTTTTAAATTATTACATGAACAATGTTGTTCGCTAGTTAGAGCCGACGACGCACTCAGCACAAAGACCTGGACGGCGAAATGAAAATTTTTTTTTTAAAGAAAAATTCTTTAATTTTTGAAACAATGATAAAAAGTATGGTCAAAATAATATTAATAAATTAAAATTATTATACAATGTTAATAAGTTAATAAATAAAACACTATCTATTTCCTTGAAAAGAATTCGTGAAAATCTCCTGTTTTTGCTATCTGAACCAGAATCTTCGTTTAACCGCAGTCTGGTCCCTGGTCTCCAAGGGACGATTCTCGACCATCCCGGCAATTAGTCTCGTCGATCGCGTCGGAGACGGTGCGGATGAGAAGATGCGGATTCTCAAATAGCAATAAGATATCCCCTTTACGTTAACATTTCGACCGTCATGAGAGGTAACCGCTGACCTCGGTACTATGCTCTCTCCGCGTCTCGTGAATTCACGTGTAAAGCGCGACTAATTGCATCTGAGGAATTAAATATCATAATCGAGATGGGGAGCTGGAGGAAACCAAGCGACGAATTTATACATCGGGAAATGTATGTATGCATTTACCGTAACCGCGGTTATCCGGATTTGAACCAAGCTTTGGAATAATCCGCGGAAATCGTAGCGGCTCGGTCAGCGTGTTAAAATAAAAATAAAATAATCATCCTCTCGTTGCGATCAAGTGTCCCCCATCGTTCCCGCTGTTCCCCTGCGAAACGTAACGCATCGTCTTCGAGGAGAGAACGTAACGGCGCGGAGACGTTGCTGACATCGCGCAGCTGCTTGCGCGCTCACACGCGCGTTGCGAATTTACGCTTTTATCAGGAATTCCATTAGCCGCGTGCATCGGTGCCGAAAATTACAGGGAGGACTCGCGTCGTTTCCAACAATCGATTCATTCGTGAAAATCGCCAAGTAACACCGGAAATTTATTGGGGGATGGATTGGGGGAGGGAGGGGAGGGGGAGAACTTAATATAGCCCGTAGATTTAACGTCACGTGGTGATGCTTTGAATAATTCGAGGGATTAATTGAGAAATCGAGGCCGGTGGCGATGCATGCATGCACGCACACACGCACGCACACACACTCGAGGAGGATGACGGCGGCGGGCGCAATTCGAATTGTGTGTATAACGCACGGGACACGCGTGTCACGCTGTTCGGGGTTACGTCGTGGTAATCACGTGTGTGTCGCGCGACGACTGCTCGGCGAACATACAAGTGGGCTCGACCACCCCTGTATAACGGGGTTGGCTACTCATTAATGCGTGTCGATCGAATCGATTCGCGATTAAGCCCACGACCGCCACGTGACTTTCCAACGACCGCAATGGAAAGGCAGATTTGCGTGTCATCGCCCACTTTTGTTCTCTAACCGTGTAATCAAGCCCGAATAATCATCCCGGCCGTGTCCCCCATTTTTTGTGATTAGAGTGCACCCCCGGAGACACCGTTCGCGGCGAGCAACTTGCATCTCGCGACTCTCCTTTTTCCGCGGATATCGGAATAATTGGGGGAATTTTCTGATGGAAAAATCATCGAGCGCTCGGATTCCTCTCTCAACCCTCCCATTCCATCCTTCATCCTCCCCCCTCCCCCCACAGCCGTCCGAACATCAGGGCGAGTCGCCGAGTTCAGCCGGCGATGTTGAATTAGTAGCAAGGGGTCGCGCGCGCTATAATTATATGATATCGAGCCAGAGAAAGACAGAGAGCTCTCGCATCGACGAGAGAAACGACGAGGATAGCGGCGGCAGCGATATCGCGCGCGCGACGGCGATATTTCCACGTCAGGCGAATCGGCCGCGTAGATCTAAAAGTTGAGAGACCGAAAAAAAATGTCATCGCTCCCACGGGGAACGGAAAGATGGAAAACTGCCGCGTCCACGTCAGTTCGATTTCGCCCTGTTCGACAGTAGGTGGTGAGGGGCGAGGAAACGAAGGGGTGGAGGAGGACGACGAGGAGGAGGAGGAGGAGGAGGAGGAGGAGGGCACGATGGTAGGATGGGTAGAAGAAGGGCGAGAGACGAAAAAAGGTTTGACGAAAAAATGGAGAGGACACGGGGGAGGGAGGAGGAAGGGGGCGGTGGGTGAACGAGCGAGCGGGATAGTGTCGTGGGAGGAGGGGGGAGTGAGGGGGTTTGCGCGAGAGGCGGTTGGGGTTGGTCGGAGGCGGTGGTCGAGAGACGAGGAGAATTTGCAGGACGCGGGCGACGCGGAGAGCGAGTGTTGTCCGGCACGAAAAAATGGTTATTCCTTCTCGAATGTGCCCGATGCACATGCACGTTTTCCCGCAAAACGGATGGCCGGGGTGCGGAGCGGCGGTGAGAGAGTGAGAGACCAGGGGGAGGGAGTGGTGGTGGTGGCGGCGGCGGCAGTGGTGGCGGCGGTGCTGGCG